CCCCAAAACCCCAAAACCCCATTGAGAGCTTATAGAATTGAAAAGAAGGAATTATATAATTCAAATTTAAATAAGTTAAATATAAAGAACATCTGAATTCAATTAACTACATTCAATGAGCAGCACATAAATACCGTAGGAAAACAGTAACATAACAGAGACTAGTCCCTAATATGAGAGCATTATGGGGTCTACATAAGCAAGCAATGGAAAATAGCCATTCAATATGTTCGCAAAAAAACATGAGGATGCAACAAGTAATGATGGATACAATAATGAAGCAGATTTAAATGGAGAAAAGAAAAAAAAGAAGAAGAAGAATAAAAATAAGAACAAGAAAAATAGAGTAGCAGGATAGGAAGAAGGTGATCAGCAGTAAAATGCCAATCCATAAGCCAATATCATAAAAAGTGGAGGAGGAAAGACAAATGGACAGCAAAATGATAGTGTCTTTGATAAAACTTCATCAACGTTTGGTTATCCTGAAAACAGTGCAGGGCCTTTCTCAGATAGAACACTTAAAGAAGAAGGTACTAAGGGTGAGAGAGATTTCACTCCATTAAAGGACAAATTAGGCGCAAGTTTCTTTGAAGATCAGGATTCAAGTGAAGATGAGGGTATGCCAGATTATAAAATAGGAGGCTATCATCCAGTTCATGTGGGCGAAATTTTACTAGATAGATATGTTATTATTCAAAAACTTGGATGGGGTCATTTCTCCACCGTTTGGCTCACCAAAGATCTCAAGTATAACAACTACGTAGCTATGAAGGTGCAAAAGAGTGCCTAGCATTATCTTGAAGCAGCTTATGATGAAGTAGAAATCTTAGACTAAGTAGCTAACAATTGGAAAACCGAAGAGTGGAAAAAGAGCATTTAAGATTTTTACAAAGATGATCCTCAACTTCATGCTTACCTTGCCAAATGGGGAATGAGTGGAGATACCTCTCACTGTGTGCAGTTATTGAACTCATTCATTCATCATGGTCCAAACGGAAAGCACTTCGTTATGGTCTTTGAAATTTTGGGAGTAAATTTCCTAGAAATTATTAAAAGATACGATTACAAAGGAGTTCCTATTCCCTTGGTGAGAAAATTAGCAAGACAGTGTTTGATAGGCTTGGACTATCTTCACAGAATGTGCAAGATTATCCATACAGACTTCAAGCCAGAGAATGTCGTTATTTGCTTAAGAGACGATGAAGTCAAGGAGATTGCCAGCACTGGCTAACTTACAACCACAAAGATGTTTCAAAACAAGTCTGCTGAGATCATAAAGAAGATTAACAAAAAGATCGCTGGAACAGTTCCTCAACCAGCCCCTGTATAATAGTAGTAAATCGCCAAGTAAGAATCAACTGTTGATCCAAATGAGACGCCAGCTGTCTCCTAAAGTAGATTAGATGGACTGACTGCCAAGCAAAGAAAGAATTTAAAGAAGAAGCTCTAAAAAAAGAAGAAGAAGAACCAAATCAAAAATGCAGAGGAAGAGAGCAAAGCTGATGAAGATGTTTAGACCACTCAAGATCAGGTGTAAGACACTAATGTTATGGGTGAAATCAGCAACTAGGTCTTGAATCAATAGGATTAAACCTAGGGTGCTAAGAAGAAGCATGCTAAGAAGGGAAGTATGGATCTTGGTAGCGATAAGATTAGTGGGTTACTTTTAGATGATGAGGACCAGTTGCAGAAGTAGCAAGATGGCGAGCCGAAAAAGAGACGTGGACCTAAGATTGATGAAAATGTGCAGGTAAAGATCTGCGATATGGGTAATGGATGCTGGACCTACCATCATTTCACCCCAGAGATTCAGACTAGACAATACAGATCACCAGAGGTCATAATTGGAGCTGACTATAACACTTCAGCTGATGTATGGAGTTTCGCTTGCACAATTTTTGAAATGGTAACTGGTGACTTTTTGTTTGAGCCTAGAAAAGGTAACAATTATGATAAAGACGACGATCATCTAGCTCAAATGATGGAACTCTTGGGAAGAATGCCCAAGAATATGGCACTTTCAGGCAAGAATTCTAAGAAATTCTTTAATAACTAAGGCCATCTTAAGAGAATTAGTGGTTTGAACTACTGGCCACTGAAGAAGGTTTTGATGGAGAAGTACAGAATAAAGGAGGAGGAAGCATAATCTCTGTCTGATTTCTTAGTCCCTATGCTCGAATGGTATCCAGAAAAGAGAGCTACTGCTCAAAAGATGCTTTCCCATCAATGGCTCAACATGTCAGCTAATTATGATTACAAATACACCGATAGAGAGTACGAAGTAATGATGTTGAAGAAAGAATTGAAGGATAAAGTTAAAACAGGCGGTGCAAAAGCAGCAGCTTTGGCTTTGAACGAGTCCCATGAAGAAATGAATGAATTGATTGAGAGTGATGAGGAGAACAATGCTGCTGACATTGATGAATTCACACACTTCATTAATGGCTGCAAGAGCAGTGTTGATGATGAAGAAGGTTTCGACTGGGACGAGCTTAGTCTTTAAGATAAAGATGAGGAAAGAGAAATCTTCAGGAGAAGAAAGGAAAAGGAGGCAAAGATCAACAACTCTTTTACTGGCCCCTATCCAATTGACCCCACTGACTTCAATCACACTGACAAGGGTCCAAACAACTAATTTGCTCATAATATTAATCAGCATTGAAATTTGAAAAAGGGGGTAAAAGTTTGCACTAAACCCAACATATGTAATCACAAGTGAGTTCTCAGTCAATATCGGTTTGTTTCTCGTAAATAAAGCTTATAATAAGCAGCATATAATAATTTTTGCTAAACTTTTAAATAAATTGTTAAATTTAAATTTAAATCTCAGAAATCAAATTTTGTTCGCACAAAATGGCAGATATTAAGTCAGCTCACAGCACATCCTCAAAAGGTCAGTATATGAACCAAATTGAGGAATCCAGACCTAACTCAGAGCTCGTTGAAAGAACTAGACAGGTAAGATTACATAAATAAAATTTATTTTAATTGGTGCTTATTCAGATATAGATGTCTCTCAATCGCAGAAAGCATTTTGAAACTAGTGCAATTGATCAAGAAAATGTCACTGCAGAGGGTAAAAGGTCCAAGAAAGCAATAGAAGCTATTGAGTTAAAGGGCATTGTAAGTTCCCAGGAAGAAGTCCTTCAGAGAAAGTAAGTTCATATACTAGTTATCAAATAATTTAAAAGGTTTTTCAGGGCAAAAAGATCAGACTCAACTACTCCAATGTGCCAAAATGGAAGTCAGATCTAGACCTCAGTCAATACTCACTCCAAAATCATCAACGGGGAAGACTCATCCAATCCAGACCATCCTCCTCAAGGCCAATTCAAAATCGCTGGGTCCCTAACTCAACTTCAAAATAGCTCACAGTCCTCCAGTAATAGTTTGCCATCAATTGCTCCTATCAAATTCAACTTCACAAACCCTTTCACAAACTAGAGGACCCCATCCTAAATGTCTAACCAAGCTACCGTCGGGTCAGATAACATTCACTCCTAAGGCTTGATAAGCACTCAAAGCAGCAATTCATAGACTAACGCCTCAGCCAATCAGCACAACCAAAATTAGTTCAAGTTCTAAGTCTCTTTCAACAATCAAGGTACTGGAAGTACCGACAACTAGACCAGCAACTTAGACAACTACAAAGTAGGATCTAGCTTGAGGGGTGAATAGAAGTTTGTGGTCAACAAGGATCTCTTCTCCAACCCACACATCAGAAATCCCTTCAACAAGTACAATGAGACTAAAGATTCTAACTCAGAGTCAGTGAAATCATCTAGATCTATTGATGAGAATCAACTTGTCCAGCAAAACCCTTTGAATTCCACAGTAAGTCTCAGCTTCTAAAAAAAGCTATCCACTAATGTTGAGGACAGTCCTCAAATCAAGAGTCTCTTTGAGTTTTAAGAGAATGAGAGATTCAGACCAGGTCCAGACTTCAAGCCTAAATCAACCTTCAACTTCAGTGAAGAGAATTTGTTTGGAAAGAAGCCAGATGTGTCTGAAGGAGGGAATGAGAGAGGCATAGTTGTCAAGCCAAACTTTGCCAACATGACCAACCCTTTCAAAATTCCCGGTTCCACATCCTCACTTTTCACATCTGGCCAATCCCTGTTCAACACCTCAAATCTCACCTAGTCTAATGGAAACAACAACAATAGTGGATGGAAACCACAGCCAAGCTGGCTCAAGCAGAAAACTGCCTCGAGCAACTCATCTGCAGGCAAATAAGCTGAGAACTAAGAAGGGGAAGAAGATGAAAAGCTTGAACCAGATGTCAAGGAGAAAATTCAAACAAACTCCTAATTTGAGAAGATATTCCAGAGGCAAATACTCAAACTCAAATCCCAGAAAGGCATTGGCCAGCCAGACAAAAAGCCAGCTAAGAAGGATACTGGGTTCTTGTCAATCGAGAAATTCAGAAGTCCTTAATCCAGTGCCTCAAATGAGAACAAGGCAGAGAACAATACCCCTGTTATTTAGCCAGATCAAATGCACTTCTTGGTGTTCAGAGACTTCCTAGGCAACCCTAAGTTCAACTCAGTAATCAACAGAAAAGTTGCAAAGATCAAGGAAATCTCTGATAAGTAGTATCAGTTCAAGGTAAAGGTGGCAGTATTAGTGAAGGACCTTGACAGCAAGCAGTATGAAACTGAATTTGTGGAGCTCAAGTTCATCAATGAGTCTGACAAATCTGTTTTCATGAAGGTTTTCAAGCAAATTGCTCTGCTCAATGATTCTCCCAAAGGTACTCTCGTTGCTAAAGCCCAGTAAGAATGACCTATGTTTATTGTAGAGGAAAAGCAGTCTTGAATCTATTGTAAACGCTTCTCCTTTACCTTTTCTTAATTTTAATATATTATATAACTATAAATTTTATCAATATAACTTTTAATTCAAATCTTTTCTTCAAATATTCTATCAGTTGGGGTTTTGGGGTTTT